TGCAGCTGATGCTTTGCATTGCACTTCATGATGTAAGGCTTGGATGCAGCTGCTCGGCCATGGAAACCTCCATGAAGATTTTTGCGAACTGTTCTTCAGCTAATCTGAAGACCACACGAAGTTTGGAGGTCTGTAGCTATTGACTCTACAGACAGTTGGTGACTTCTGCACATTGCGCCTTAGCATGCATTGTCCCCTCTCTGTGATTTTATGTGGCCTACCACTTCGTGGCTGAGTTGCTGTTGTGCCCAATTGTTTCCACTTTGTTATAATACCACTACCAGTTCACCATGGAATATTTAGTAGTGAGGAAATTTCACAAATGGACTTATTGCACAGGTGGCATCCTAGCATGATTTTATATACAGTACCTGTAGCTATGGAAGTGATTGGAACACATGAATTTAATGATTTGGAGGGGTGTCCCAATATGATTGGCAATATAGTGTCGCTCCAGGAAGTCATGGAGGCAGCAGGTACAATTGTTTCAGAGAAAACAATAGGCTATGAGCTGTATTACTGATGAAAAGGCTTGTTGAAGCTCATTTAAAGTTTGCTACATTTAGACAAGCTTATGACATACTGGGAGAATGTAGTCTGGTCAGATGAGATCAAAATTGAATTTTTTGCCTGTCATAATCCATACCATGTTTGGACGAGAAATGGCTCTGCACCTCACCGGAAAAAAACATTATATCATGATGTTTGGAGATGGAAGTATCATGGTGTGGGGCTGTTTCTCATCTCATGGTAGTGGCACATACAGTATATTAAGTGCTTTCCGTGTACTAAGAGATTCTTGAATCTACTGGCCCCCACCAGGATGATGAGGATGAGACGTGGGTGGATCTTCCAGCAGAACAACGATCCCAAACATACAGCAAAGGAAACTCTCAGCTGATTTCAGAGACAGAAAATCAAGTTGTTAGAATGGCCCAGTCAATTACCTGATTTAAATCCAATTGAACATGTGGGGAAAGAACTAATGATCAAAGTTCACAAGAGGGCCCCCCAGAATCGTCAAGATTTAAAGACAATCCATTTAGAAGAATGGGTCAAAATCACACCTGAACACTGCAACCGATTAGTTTCAGATATGGGACGTGCCTTGGAACTGATGTTACAAAAGCTTCTCCAATAAGTATTAAATTTTAGTCAGTGTGTTCAATACTTTTTTCCTGTGTCATTCCACTTCATTAAACATAACATCATTTATGGACTTTAATATTGTGAATTCTTTAAATTTATGGATTTCTTGAGTTAATCCCAATGTCTGATAAAAATTTTGTGTGAATGGGAAATATATTAACTAAAAAAATGTTGATGCGTTCAATACTTATTTCCCCCACTGTATATTATATTGTATTATATGCCGGGTTTGTAAATAGCTAGCATATGTGTGGTCATTTGGTGCAGTGTTTTTAACAGTTTGTACTGCTGGAAACAGGCAGCTAGGGGGACTCACTGAATGGGCAGCTCCAGGATAAGTTGAGCCAGAAGGCAGACTCAAAGCAGAGGGTTGCTTGGGATCATAAATCCTTAAACCGGCCAACCAGAAGCCCAAAGCGAAATTTTGGTCATCAAGAACCATGATATTCAAGTCACCTAAAGCACCAAGCCAATACCCGTTAACAACTGAAAAGCACAAAAGAAAGTGAGACCAACTCCACCTAGCACTGCAAAACAAACCTCTGACTGAGAGCCAACTGATCCCTATGCTCTAAGAGCAATGATGATGACTGAACAGTGATAATGACTCACTGCTCTGCTTAAGTAAGGTTAAGCTCTAATTGCTACCAGCCCAGATTAAATTACCTGATTAGTAAATCGGGCAGGTGTGACAACCACAGCATAGGGAAACATACATTTTATGCAAAACAGACAAAGTGCAAATACACTACACAAAGTGCAAACCATACACAAATAATAAAAAATAATCTTGGTGCTCCATTACATCTTCACTAGCAAGAACTGTATTACACCATATCTCATTCTTCTGACTCATTCATGGACTCATGCTTGCAAATGCCTGAAACCTACTTCACATTTATTGCAACTAGTGACAATTACAGACATTATACGAATAAATGGAAAATGAGGAAGACTGGTTATGGCAGAATGTTGCCCCCCCCCTAAGAGAGAGCTCTGGCTCAGGAAGGAGTCACTGTATGTTCACACCGCGGGCAGCAAGAGCATCAAATAGACTGGAAGTCATTCATTCTCTATCGGAGGGTGCGTCACTGGACAGTGAAGAGCAGCGTAGCGCAGCGCGATTTGGGCAGTGAGAGCATTGAAGCCTGGTCAGCTTAATGGTAATGAGCTATGACGCAGTTTGGTGGCAACCATTCAGAATGTAGAGATGCTCCGCTAAAGAGAGTTCCACAGAACACAAGCATGTGAACTTTTATTCTGACCAAACAGTTCCACTCCACCATCGGGGAATAAACTGTGAGACAGGATGTGTCTCCACATGGCATTTTATCCTCTAGACATGGTAAAAAATACCCGTGTTTAGGCAACATAAAAATACACCTTTAAAAATCCATTTAGACATGCATTTTTATACTTTTCTGTTCAAAGGTAAAGGTTTCAGTTTGTAATGCATTATATTGGTTGTCGTATCATAGTATTTTACTAATCCTGCAGATTAGTATTTTAATTGTAGCCACAATGAACAACCTTGTCCCTGCCTACTCCGTTTATGTCAGAGAGTGTCCACAGTGTTTGCTAGTGTCGTGGACAGTCCGGTCATATGGAGGTATGTTCATAAGCCTTGTCGCCGCAAAGAGCTCAAAAGCTGCTGAAGTCACGTGTTAGGCTTTCCACTTCGGCGACTGAGAAGTCTACTCAACAGCCAGGTCCAACTTGAGGAGAGGCATCAGAGAGGCAAAGCGCTCCTACAAAGATAAAATTGAGGAGCACTTCAACAACTCTGACCCCCGGCGCATGTGGCAGGGAATCAGGTCAATTACCGACTATAAAAGCAGCAACACCCATCAAACCAGCACAGTGACCTCATCCCTACCAGACGATCTGAACCAGTTCTTTGCACGGTTTGACAAGGACACCAACCACCATCATACCAGGCTGACTGTGCAGGAGGCCCCCCTGAACACCCTGGTGTTCAGCCCACACGAGGTCAGAAGAGCCCTCAGGCACATCAACCCCAACAAAGCAGCTGGACCTGACGGTGTCCCTGGACGAGTGCTGAAGCACTGCGCAAGTCAGCTGTCTGCAGTCCTCACCAGCCTGTTCAACATCTCTCTGAAACAGGCCACCGTCCCCAACTGCCTCAAGTCTACCACCATCATCCTGGTCCTAAACAGGCGGTGGTCAGGACCCTGAACGACTACCGTCCAGTGGCCCTGACCCCCATTGTTATAAATTGCTTTGAGCAGCTGGTCTTAGCATCCATCAAGAAGAACATACCTCCCTCCCTGGACCAACACCAGTTTGCCTACCGGTCAAACACTTCCTGCGGAGCCTGAAGAAAGCACGTCTTCCACAGCAGCTCCTGGTGAACTTCTAAAGGTACACCATAGAGTCAGTGATCACATACTGCATCACTGTGTGGTACTCTGGATGCACCTTGGAGAACAGGAAAACCCTGCAGCGCATCATTAAGATAGCCCAGCGGATCACTGGCACCCAGCTTCCATCACTGGAAGAAATCCACCACACCCGGTGCAGCCACAAAGCTGGAAAAATAATCAAGGACCCTTCCCATCCTGGACAAAAACTCTTTACACCTCTGTTATCTGGTAGATGCTACAGAACCCTGTACGCACGCACAACAGCATTTTTAGGCTTACTGTTTTTCACATGATGACGTGGGTTGATGTTATGAAATGTTGGCATACGCATGACCATTTAGCTGGTTTACCTGCAGTTCCCTGCTTTACAATGGTTGTTGCCTTTTCCCAGTTTGTCCAAAATGTAGCATACCTCCTCCTCGGTTTCCATAAATATACACATTAATTCCCATCAGGTTTTGTTTGATAAATCAAGGATGTTGCGTAAAAAGATGGGTACACACATTTCAGGTGTCTTTTTGTGCCTCCGCAGTTTAATAAATGAGGCCCCTGATGTGATTTGCATATATTCTGTGAATCATGAGGAATGGCCTTAATAGAAAGGTCCTCACATTGCCATAAAAATTAGAATTCATTAAGGTAAAAGTGAAAACATCCTTTAAATGGCCATACTGCAGCTGAAGACCCTCCACTGGCCAGCTAATTGAGGACTGTAGCTGCGGCAGTTGTAGGTGCTGCTCGAATGAATTTCTGAGGCATCTCAGACAGTGACTGTCAAGGGCCAGTCATGGAGTCACTGTTCAGTTAAGTGAAACAATCCAAAAGCAGAGATTTCAGCAGTTTCACAGTTCCACCAGGGATGCTCTTTGGTCAACTCTGGATTCCTCAATTGGCTCCATCCCACTTGGGGAGCAGTGCAGTATTCCTAAGGAAATGTCCAGTGATGCCCACAGTTCTGTTAGTCCAAGTCCCCACCTTCCCCTACCCCCTCTTAGGAAAAACTGCAGTGCTTGGTGATGTGACACCAGCCCACGTGGATGATTGATGACAGTATTACTATGTGTAAGCTGTTTGTGGCAACAAGGCTTCATAGCATGCCTCCATGTGACTCTGACCTGAGCCAGAGCTCTCTTGGGGGGAGGTGCGGCCAAAATTCTGCCATAACCAATCCTAAAACCTACTCTCCCCAGGTGGCATCACCAGCTGTGGTAGATTTGGGAATCGTGCCCTCTGACTAATGCCTGTCGCAGGATAGTCACATTCCATTCTAAAAATGCTTGTGAGGCATGGCTAAAGTACACTGCACACCATCACACCTTACTGTGTGTGGTTTTAGGTGCATTACGTCAATGGCAAACCCATCCATCAACACTAGTCTGGCTTCTCCCACTCCTAAGGTTTTTATCAGTCTGCTGTGTTGTTTGTGTGTTGTGTAAGTTTGCATGCCAGCAAAACAAGGTGAGACCATTTTGAATTAGCTCGGAAAAGTTTATTGCATTGATTTAGTTACAAAGAAGGAAGCAGGCAAGTAAACTTCTGGTAATTGTGGGAGCAAGTAATGTTGTACTCTTAGCTATGATGAGGTGATGCCTTCTGTCTGTTGCATTATGGGAAAAGCCCTGTTAAAAACACAAGACTGGGCCATAGGAGGCGCAGTCAAATGAAATTAGCGGTACAGCTATGCACTTTCAGGATGCACATACACAAGAAAAAAAAGCGAAGAAAGCTAGGTATCGTCCTCACTCCTGTTCCACTCTGTTTTTTTGCCATCACCATCAAGCAGTACTCATGCACTCCTCACTCTTGGAGCAAGGGGGGGGGGGGACTGTATGTTCAGTGTTAATGTGTGAATCCCTGCCGAAAAGTCGATACCATTAATGGAAACAAATGACTATGAGAAGGAGGTTGGGGGAGAGATGGGTTGCTGGTCAGATCTGTGTTCATGGGCATTCAGGCTGTGTTTTCTGTTGCTTGATCTATATCAGTGGTTCTCAATTCTGTTCCTGGCGCCCCCCCTGCCAGAATGTTTTCATTCCAACCCTACCTTAATCAGACTCAGATGGTCTTTAATAGGCTAAAGCCGGTTTCAGACCGAACGCGGCGAGAACTACGCTGTGCTCCGCACCGCGCGCCGCTCGTGGAGCTTGTGCGAGCTCTGTGGTCAAAGATGAACTTTGTTGAACTTTGACCGCGGAGCGCTCTGACGCATTGTCGCGCGATCAATAGAAACAAGGCACCGAAATCAAAATAGAGGGAAAACTTATAGCTCTGGGAACTCAGACACGGACAATATATCACACAAGCGTAGAATCTTTCTGAATGCGAAATATACATCATCGCTACTGACCGTGAGCCGAAATGACAGGAGAGAGTTTTGAAAACCACGCCTACTCTTTGCGCAGAAGCCCGTGCGAGCACAGTGCGTTGAGCGGACACCGCTGTTTTTTTTAATGGGGCGCACACAGCGCAGGCCGCGTTTGTTCTGTAACCAGCTTTAGCATATTAAGGTAGGGTTGGAACGAAAACATTCTGGCAGGGGGGGGGCGTCAGGAACGGAATTCAGAATCACTGATCTATATGGAGCTTTGTTTTGGTGTAAAGGGGCCTAGTTTGTTTTTCAGTTTTTCCCAGTTCCTGCTGTCAAGACACCCAACGTGTAGAGAGGTGAGGATTCTCAACAATGAGTTCTTTTTTAGGATTTAATAATGTATCAATTAGCTTAGACCAAAGCCGCCTGAATCATTGGTTATCATGATAACTATGTGACTATACATGTGAGTGTATATGTGTGTTTGAGTGTGTATGGTAGGGATGCGGGGTTGTGTGTGGGCTTATGATGTGGGACTGACCTATGGGTGTGTGGTGCCTGCATTGGGGGGTTAGTAGCAGGCTGGGGGTGGGGGGGTCAGAGGCTCCTTCACAGATCATCGGTCTCCCCGTCAAAGGGGATGGTGTCCAGCTCCATTTGGATTTGGCCAGCCTCCCCGCTGCCCACCCATCCAATTGGCGTGCGGTTGAAGGAGGGCCGTGAGCCGATGTCATGGTGGTACACCACAGGAGGCTCCAGGTCCTCCACAGCTGCCTCGATCTCAGGCAGCTGGAAAGTCATGAGCTGGGTGGCCTTCTCAAAGCCGCCATAAGGCATTGCACTCCTGAGACGACATCAACCAACAACATTTTGCTTCCATGTTTCAACTCAATTGTATAAATACTGTACATATTCTACTTAATTTCCTTTGGTAATAATTTAAGGATTATGTAAATAGACAGCATTTACCATATGCTAAGTCCACTATGTGCCTTACCTTACCTGCAGTTTGTGCATGAGTTTTAGATTAAATTGAAGAGAGTGAGTGGAAACAGCCCACCTGTTGAAAGACTTGTACTTAGGCATGTCCTTTTCGACAATAGGTCCTGGCATCTGAATCTTCATAGTGGCCGTCAGCTCCTTGTCGCCCTTCATAGCACGTTCCCATGGTGACATGTATGTCTTCACTACCTCGCACTTCATTTTAGATTTGATCAAAGCTCCACCTGGAGTCAGGGAGCAGAGGGAAGGCAGTGAGACCTTGGAAGTACTGGAGAAACTGGAGAATGTGTCATTTGCTACTTAATTTATAAGTAATTGTCAAAGATGTGCCAAATGCTTCTGGCCATCTAAATGGTGCACTTATGGTGGATATGACTGTGTTTAACATACCATGATCCTGTTGGCTGTCTCCTTCTCCTTTTTCTTCAAGACCCTCCCCCCCAGCACCACCTGCAAGACCCCTGGCACCACCAGTGCCCAAAATACTGCCAACAGCCCCCGTGGTCCCTCCTGCACCTCCGGCAAGTACTCCTTTTGCCAGGCTTCCAGGTTTGGGAGGAGGGATTGGTGCTTGCCCGTGCCTGCCAATACGAGACACTGTCTGCCCATAGACATGGCCACCGACATCCATCATCTGTCCTCCAAGAGTGGGCACCAGCTTCTGAAAGTTCTCCTGAAGATCAGCAAAAAGTGTTTCAGTTTGTTTACTCCCTGCTTTAAAGATGCAACGATCTACTGTGGTTATTTGAGTTTCACATTCATTAGCTCTAAGGCTATATGAAATGGAATAACATGATGATTTTTTAATTGCATCAGCTGGATGGTGCAGCCATTGCATGGACTTTAACATGACATCCGAGGTCCCAGCCCTCTTCCCCATAGTGGCCTCACCATAGACTCGCTGCTGAAGAGGTCTGGGTTATTCTCATACACAAACTTCTCCACACGCTTCTGCCTCATTCTGAACATCTTGGAGCCCTTGTTCTTGAGTAGGGACAACTCCTCCAGCATGATGTCTTTGGGGGCTCTGATCTTCGTCCCCAGGTCTAATGTTGAGGCATCAGGTTCAGCCTCACGTTCTGTTGGCAGTGGGGAGGGGCAGACAGTGTCAGAGTTCAGGTGGAGGGATTGAAATCCCAAGCAAGTGTTACAGAGATAATATCTCCTGCTGCTCTCCACACAGGTGCTCATCTCTTTTGTAAGAGGATTTTTGCTCCCTTGAGGCCTGTTGTTATTTTTTCTCATCTGGCCCTGAGATATTTGGTGCCACTCAAGTTTATTCAAGTTTAAGTTTATTTTTTATTCATAAAAATGGTCCCATCTGTTGCAGGTAGTAGGGCTTCAGTTCTCAGGTTTACGCTCTTTTGCTACTGGCTCATTGGCCCACAAATGTTAAACAGCTCAAGTGACACTTCAGCCATTGCTTGTCTTAAAAGTATCCCAGATGAGCACAGATGCTTCTAGAAAGAGCACACAATTATTTTTCATACCAGCATGCTTTCTATCTCATGGCTTTCGAATAGACTTTGGGTAGGGCACTGATAGACTTGGGGTAGGGCTCGGATAGACTTCAGGTAGGGCTCGGATAGACTTCGGGTAGAGCACGGATAGACTTGGGGTAGAGCATGGATAGACTTAGGGTAGGGCTCAGAAAGACTTCTCAGGGCTTTCGGATAGATAGAGCTGACATACATCTACAGTCTGGGCACAAGTTTTACTTCCACTTCTGAGACCACCCGTCTGTTGCCTCAAGGATGACCATGATGCCAGTCATTTTCTGCTTTTTTCCATATCTCCAGGAGTAGTTTTAGCAGCCCTGTTCACTATTCATATTTCTTTTTTTAGTAATAGTTGGAACAGGATAGGTTCATCTTGCCCAAACCCTAGTTTTGCTCCTATATTTTATTCAAGTTATGTCTATATAAAGAGAGGTGATGTAGTAATGTTTATGATTAAACATACATTATTGCAGGCAGTTCTTTGGAAGGCAAGAGCCGCAAAGCAGGTGTGCAATGAGAACAAAAGGTGGGCAAGCTGTTAGCTTGGCTCGGTTGCCATGGCGAAGTGTAACTTACATCACACATTCGCTTAGGTTATGTGACTGCAGCTCTTATGGAGTGCCGTAACTCGACAAGTCAATAGTCAAAGGGGGTGATTCACCACTGCAGCCCCTGTGAGTGTGCACCTTGGTACTACTTGGATGGTCACGCAGTGCCCCCCACCTGAACACTCATGTTTTGCAGACAGAAACCTCCATGAACTGTGTCAGACTGAGGCCTTGCAGCCGTCAAACTGCTGCGGGGCTCTAGATCTTGGTTTTCCAGAACTGGTTGGTGACAGATTAAGAGTAATTTTTATTTACATTTAGCTGCTTTTGTGATATATAGTTACAGCAGAGTGTGCTGGGGGAGGCTCAGGGTCAGATGTATGCATATATTTGCATGTACCCCATACCCCCCCCCCCCCGCCCCATCTTTCTCCTCTTTCCACTATATCCAGGGAGTCCAGTCACGCAGGTCAACTGGCCCCCACCTAAAGGGCATCCTGGCACGTACCTCATGAACTGTAACTGTGAATTGGACATTTAACCCCTGATTTCAGGCTTATTTATACCATTATTGGATGTTTCTTATACTTTACTAATGGCTTCATTAAGGACCTACTGCAAGCGATGTACTAGGTAGCCACCACAGCCTCACGTTACCCAGAATGCCCAGGCTTGGCTGGCTTTGTTTTTTGTTTTTATTGTTACCGGAAGTGAGTAGCTGTTAATTCCGCCCAGCCAGCTGAACCAGGCTGTGGTTGTATTTGATTAGAACTAGCATGAAAGCACTGCTATTTTATGTTTTTTTTTTTTTGTTGTTATTTTGTTATTATTACTTAAATCACTCCTATTTAGGGTCTATTTTATGTCTGAAGTCTTTATTTGTTTTTACTTTGTTCACTTTGTTTCATCCTCACCTCTATGTTGTGATTCTGCATGAACGTTGTAAGATTGTGTTTGATTGTTCTGTATCGCAGCAGAAATACCCACGGTGTTTAAATAATCATGTTATTCACCTGCCAAATCACTCCCAAACTACTTTAAGCAGAAGAGCCTCCGGACCTGGTTGTCAATAAACTCATTTTTAAGCCCCACACAGCTGGGTAGAGGCAATCTGAGCATGTCATTGACATGTCTCGCGTACACAGTGCCCAAACGCCTGCCCAGTTAAGCTGTCAGTAGTTAATCCTTGCTACTTAATTTATAAGTAATTGTCAAAGATGTGCCAAATGCTTCTGGCCATCTAAATGGTGCACTAATGGTGGATATGACTGTGTTTAAACACTCAAACCTGCAGCAATGCCACTGGCCTAGAGGCTGAGGCTGCGATCAATGTCCAGCCAGCTGGATTATTTACAATACTGAGATGCCATGCCCAGCCATTTATAAGCCCTAAAATGTCAAAGCAGGAAGATTCACAAGTTTGGAATCGACAGAGCGCCGCTGGCTGTTGGAGCCAGTTTTGGCTGTTGAGACGCTGCTGAACCTGATTGGGGTGTTGCAGCTGCATTTCAGGGCAGTAGCATCCACCCCTGGGAGAGGCTCAGAGGGAACAGTGGGTGCTGAAGTGAATGAGACACTAGAAGGTGGATCAGCATTCCAAACCACCCGTCACTGCATATAGGACACGTGTTCCTGAACCAGAAAGGTGAGAGGCACGCGACTGGAGAACGTGTCACTTAGGTGAGGCGTGATTCCTTTCGGGGTGGGGACTTGTCTGAGATGGGGTGGTGCATCGAAGGTTTCACTCACAAGCTTATGGGAGAGTGAGCGTGAGAGCGAGATGATGAAGGTATGTGCGGTAGCCATTCAGGGCTTTCTTACCCTCCTGTGTGATGAGGGAGAGGTCTGAAATGATCCTGGATGACTTTTTCCTTTTGTTGGGGCCGGGTGTCCCAGACAGAGGCATGGTTTCTGGTGGGAAGCTGAGGAGATGCAACACAATCAGTGGGGAAGTATGAGAGAAATGGGATGTCTCCGATGGCCCACAAGAATCACTGTCCCCATGTGACCAACCTGTCCTTAAACATGCCCGAAAATTACAGACCGTCCTCTTCCACAGGTTCCAGACTAGGCCTCATTACATATTAGATATGCCTCCAGGGGATGGGGGAAGCAAATCGCAGCCTTCAATGTTGCTAATTAGCGGTACGGAAATATGCCACACAGTGTAATTCTCTGCTGTGATAACACCAGAACTAAGCAAGGTTTGAAATCAAACAAAATGACTCACTGTGACTGGTTATGTTGAGGGGTGAGTTTCCCAGAGCCTCTTTATCGCTACGGCGTTTATAAATTCTATCTTTTAACATAGAACTTACGAACAACATAGCATTAAGAAGGCTTTGGGAAACTCAGATCACTCATTAGGGAAGGAAAAGACACAGTTGACTGAACATTCACGGCAGCCTGATGTCACATGGTCTGTTTAGGCAGTGATCTTTTAGCCTATGCAATTGGACATACACATGCCACATATAATGTACCCACCTCCAACGCTTCGCACTTAATCACAAAGGTGGGTCATAGTTAGAGTGTGTCTGATTCATAGCTTATTCTGACCGGCTGACCTCGTTTGCACATTGAATATTATGGTTAAATGGAGAAGGAGGCAACTGATAGGCTGGTAGAACACGAAGGCCGTAGACTCCGTTTGGGGAGTTTATTGCCCCTTCCTGGTCTTTGAACAAAAATAAACTTCTTAAAAACACTTGTAACGTTAGTCTTTTTTTTTGCCCTTTCCTGGTGTGTAAATAAGCACAATTACCCAGAGCGATGGAAGGTCAAGTCCTCGCAATTAAGTAGAGATAGTGAGACGAATCTGTCCTGCAAAGGCACCCCGCTCTCTTTGTGCAACCCTCCTCCCCCTGAGGTTTTCTGGAACTTTTGTCTTTGACCAGCTGCATTCTGGAGCTTTGTCACAAACCCACCACCAGCCTGGACGCTGGTAGTTGGCCAGTTCCTTTAAGGACACAAGGAAAGTTGCACTGCGTCTGCAAAACCGTAACTCTATCTTCATGGCTATTTTTAAGCGCCATTTTGAAGCGAGACCTTTTTCGCCGAGGTGGACGGGTGGGCACGATGGGTCTTGGACTGAACGTAAGATGGCCTCATGGACCAATACATGCATGCACAGAAACACACATGTGCCAAGCTCCAGCAGCACCGCTCCAATGTGCACCCAGAGAGGCTCTGAGGGGGAAACAGTGGATTCCAGGCTGCCCTGGCAGGAGCAGGGGCCCTATAAAAACATCACACCCCCAGGCTCACAGCTCGGGTTTCTCAAGTCAGTATTCCTGGTATAGCAGGCCATATAAATCCGAAGTGCGAAGCGGGCAGGTGCAGAGGGGCGGTCAGCAAATTCTCAAGATCAGCCTGTATTCAGAGGCTTAATGCAGAAAAGTGACATGCCTCAATTGACGTCGATTTACGGAAGGTCACCTGCTGCAGCAGGGGAAGCAGGACCCAGATATATGCAAAAGCCCTCAGCTTTAGAGACGGCCCCCATGGTCAGATCGTTGACTGTCGCACATTAGATTACCTTGCCATGCAATGTGCAGTCATACAGATCTGACCGCTGTGAAAGACGGTCGCCATGCTGACCTGCTCACCTGAACTCAGAGTGTCTGTGCTGTCAGGGGTAGGGGGATTCTGGCTTGAGCAAATTCCAGGTTCTCTGTTCTGGAAGCTGCAGCTTCTCTACATCCCAGGGTGCAGAAAACGCAGGGAGGTGCTGGGTGACACGCCGTCAGGGGGTGCCCTGTTCTGCTCGGGACAGAGTGTCGATGCAAAGTGTGGGGCTGTTGGGTGCTCTGACTTTCTTGCAGATGCTTCACAGATCTATATATAGAAGTTAGGGGAGTGAGGAGTCTGGAGGGTTATCAGATAGCCCCCCTTAGGGCTGCAGGCAGAATTACAACTAATTGATTTGACCTCTCTACTTGGTCTTCATCAATTAGCAAACTTTGGGCTGGATTTGTACCCTTTCATTGGTGTAGACATTTGTGAATCTCAATGTGAAGCATTCCGTTGTCCAGACTGGGCGCTGCGAGTGGATGCCAGTCACAACTGCATTGCCTCATAGACATCCAGCACATGGGAAACTATAATACAGAGGAACGAGGGACAGGGTGGGGGGCTGGGGGAGGTGGAAGTGACCAGTTTCCTAGGGACTGTTCTGCTTATCATGCTCCGCTCCAGATGGGCAGAACCTAATCTGCTTGCAAAGCCATTCACTCCACATAAATAATACATACTAGTCATGAAATATAACACTGACCACGGGTCAGTCTGTTTCCACATATAATCTGGTTCAGAGCTATGGGAAACACTTGTCCTCGACTGTATCCGCTCCAGGAGTCGGACCAGAGGTGCACAGATGTGAAATGGCGAGAAAGAGAACATGAGTCACTGGACAATCATCTGAAGGCATCTTACAATGGACAGAAAATAAAAGCTTTCTCTCTCTCCATTCTAAGGGTGTTAACGCTGAGCAGAAGCTGGCAGAACCACGACTATGTCCTTAATACCTCTGCCAAATTGGACCCCGGACTAGAACCCCCAATTCCTCAATGGCATCTCGGCATCCTGAAGGCTGTGGCAGCTTTGTAATCTGACTACACAAGCCAAGCTTTTGAAAGCCTTGAAAATGTCTCTACATAAACAGCACTAAATATAGGTGAGGGGGTGCTGAAAGAGAAAGGTGCCAGCTGAAAAGTCACTACACTATATGCAATCCCACTACCTGTCACTAGGAGACAGAATTTGCAATGTGGCGTGGCCTGATTCATCTGCGTCAGCTCGTCTCTGTCCAGGGCTGTCTCATGCTCGAGATAAATCCCCCTAGGTATTCTTAGTCCAAAAATCATACGGTTATGACAGTACACTACGATTATGAGCTGAGTTTAATAACTTTTTTTATAGATGAAAGTCAAGATCAGTCTTTATATAACACATGAACTCAGTAAATTTAACCGGATGATGCTAAATTTGGATACACGATTGCGTTGCCCAGTAGTCGGTATTAGTTTTTACTTCTATAATACATGACCGCCATCTTGTGGTAAATATTGATAACTGCGCTGGCTGCAAACAGGATCTATGTGAGCAATAGTTGTAGCGGTGAGTTTGGCTTTGACGAAGTGCACGGGTAGTGAACACATTTGTACTCAAAATTATGTAACTTTGAACCATTATATTCATCTATCTATTCTTCTTATTGTGGCCAGGGTTGTGAGGTAAAATATTGTGCTTATTATGATATAATTTTTCTTCAATGTAACTTTAATAAAATGATATATACAGCTGCAGAAAAAATTGTGACCACTATATTTTTAACCAAATCTGCATTTTTAAATCTTGGTCTAATTGTAGTTCTGCTGGCAGAAGACTACGGTGAGCAGAAGGGTACACAAGAATAAGGTAAAGCAGGGGACACTGGGAACGACCAGAAACCAGCCAGGTAAAGGGCGGAAGCCACATTCTAATGCCAGAGATGATCATTAAATTATCCAACAGTTTCTTATGAATCGTAGGATGACATCAAGTGACCTTCAAAAGAAAAGCAGGTGTGAAGTGCATTGCTAGGATAGTTTGTATCAGGCTCCTAGAAGCAGGACTGAGGTCTCATAAAGCAAGGAAGAAGCCCTTTATTAATGAGACACAGAGAACAACCAGGCTGCAGTTCGCAAATATATATATATATATATATATATACACACACACACTATTCACTCACGTAGACCTATAAATTGAGAAATGGATGAAACAAAAAATTGTACTGTGGTCTGTTAATTTTTTGCTGAGCTGTATATATTAAATTGTTCCAACTATACATTTATATGATTCCTACAGCATGAAAACAACACTGTTTTGTTGTCTGTGAAGTAAAGGCAGTCATGCAAATACTTTGTTTTGACAGGACAAATTAGTAATCAAATTATTATTCGGATGACTATGTGGCTGCACCATTGAATGCTGGGAGGTTGGATGAAGTATGTCATCAGTAAATCTCGTTAATTGCATCGCTAGGCAGTCATGATTTGAGCAGTATGGAGGTTAGGACAGCTGAAAGACTGAAAAAGCTGTATACACTGTGAAATGTATGTAGTTAACAGCATTAAAAGGAAAAACTGGTTAGAATAGCTTTCCCACTGCATACATTTTCAGTACGTCATTTTGCTGTGATGTAAGGTGTAGCTGTTTCGGGCTCATAACTCAGGTTATTGAGATGTATCTCCATGTCCCAGTTACGCACATAGGAAGTACTGTAGTGTAGTGCATTGGTTTCCCAGGCATCACCTCTTATACTTACTGAGAGCCTGTCAGGTATTGTGGTATCCTCTCCCTGTGAAAGTGAAACCTGAAAAGCAGACTTTTGGCCTAAAGTCCATTTGCTGGAGCACAGAAGGAGCAGGTTTGCGGAGGGGAGAGCAGGAGATCTATCGGCTCCCTGAGGTGATACCACTGGCGAGCTGTGCTGGAACTGAAAACACCATCTTTGTAGAATCGAGCCAGGATAAAGAGCACAAATAGATGGGATGGCAAAGTTGACTTAGAGGACACAAACACCCAGGAGGTTTTTCATAACTGTTATTTATTTTTGAAAAACTTTGTTTGGCAAGTATAACCAATGCTGAGCCTGTATCCCTTAGCTGAAGATTAAGTACACACTGACATATTCCATATTAGACTTCTGCTATTTCCTGTTATCTAAATTTTAAAAAGCAAAAACGGGACATAACACAGTCAATATGTGACACGCAAGCTTATGCGTTTAGCCAATTTCACCAAATCCAGGCAGCGAGACACCAGTACCAGGAGTTTCTGTGCTTGTCCACCTACCCACTAGATCATCCTTCCACAGCTAGGCCCCATTCCCATCTCTGCTCAGTCACTTTCTCTCTATCTGTACAGTCTATGGGATCTCTCTCATGTCATCATCATTTAACAGTTCAAGTAGAATGGCACCAAAAGCACATCCCCCTGCTCTCTGTAGAAAATTGGTACACCCCATAACCACAAAGGCTAGAAAAAGTGGGCTATTGACAATTTTCCTTGTTTCCCTACCAATGAAGGCTTTCACTCCTCACGGCAGCAGCAACATCCTCAGCATCTCTTCTAGGATCACATACTCCTGCACTGGTGACTTTGTTACATCCAGGACGGGTCAACCCAATAGGCAACGCAGGCAGCCGTCCAGGGCATTATCTTCTTAGCAACTTAGCAAAACCCCAGTTTCCTCTCCTCCTCAACACCTCTCTCCAACGTGAGGAGAATGTACAGCGCACTGACCAGGAAGGCAGGGGATGCCAGCAGTGAAGCATATCTAGGTCACCACATGGACATCAACTAACACTGATTGCATCATCTTCAAATCAACATAAAGAAAATAAGAATACACTAAACATTCTACTTTATTATAGTCAACACAACCTGAGCAGTGATTAAAAAAAAGCTAAATGGCTATTCTATCACATCCACAGTCAGTATGCCTTCATACTCAATGTTTCTGGTGCACACTGGGTCTATGAGCCACTGCATCCGGCAAACCATTCAACCACAGACCAGAAGGCTGCCAGGTCAAGCGTAAGAGGAAAGCCATTGCAAATGGGTGAAGCTAACATCAACACAAAGCAGCTCTCACCCTCACATAACCACATACACTGAACAGGCCGGCCAGTGCAGCAGCCTCATTTTTGAGCTTCAGAGACCCACTGGCTCAATGGCAAATACATGAGAGCAGCCGGGATTGTAAGGAGCTGCCATATACCCAGGAGCTGGGGGGTCACCCTCCACACAACATACTCTCATCCCTCAAAGGCCTGTACATTTTACCTGGGTAAGAGGCACTTACAGGCCCAGCTTCACTCCCCTGCTGTGGTTCGAAAAGTCATCATCATACTCACTTTTAATGGAAGTAAGGTTTTGGTTCATTATTACTTGCAGTAAAATCACATTTCAAGTTTTGTGAGCATGGTAATTCAGTGCACATTCATCAGGATCTTTTTGGCCTGCATTTGCAATTTTCTGATGTTTGATCTGTTTGATCTGCCCTGGTGATGCATCATGACTGTATCTCAATGATATACACTGTACACCATATATAGGCAATGACAGCAGATCCAACACTATACAACAATATTTTTTGGTTTCATGCATCATTTAGAGGGAGAACAGAAAAATACTGTGAAATGAAGAGTAAAACAGGGGTTTCTGTTGTATTTTAGGACATTCCTGTTAGGGCTAAAATAACATACAAGAAGGTATTTTATTTGAATAATAATACACAAGAAGGTATTCTATTTTAATATTGCACTTTGCACACCATATTAGGTATCAGTACTGTAAGTATAGTGTCTCTACCCTGTCACTGTTAGCGTCAAATGTTATACAGCACAATTTGAAAATTGGTGTCTGTAGAGCAGAGAGGAGTCCTGCCGAGAACTAGTTTTGAATTTTTTTTTTTATCCAAAAATATTGCAAACAAATATGTCTGGAAAAGATTTTTGCAAACTAATATGTTCCCCTACAATTCTTAGATTAGGATTTTATTATTTGTTGTTATATATATATATATATATCATGAATGGATAAGTAAAAAAAATTTCGCACCCACTGACAGACCCTGATTCCACAAGCATGTGACAGAAGCTGCCATAGGGTGACATTGTAGGGGTTAGGAGGGCAGGCCCTAGGGGTGTGCCCCCCCCGGCCTCCACATGCTCATCTGAGCCCCTTTTCTTGAAGCTACGAAGCGTGGTTTGGGGGCCTGGACAGTGGGCGAGCGCAGGGGGCTGAGCTCAGGGGCACTCAGGAAGAGCTTTGACACCTGGAGGCCTGTGTTGGCAGGGCCCGGGAAAGGAACAGGGCCGGGGACACGTACCCGGCTCGGGACGGGCACACTGGATATTTTTGGTAATTCAGGGAGGGCTGCTGTAGGAAGTGGTGGAGGGGCCTCTGCTGCGGTGTTGGGCGAGGTAACATCAGGGCAGAGTAGGGGCTCCCCCAGTGTGGTAGCGGCTCGGGGGATGATGACGGTGGGCATCAGGGAGGTGGACGCCGACATGGGTGTGGGTGTGGAAAAGCGGCGGATCTCGCGCACACCCACCGACCTGATGGGGATCTGTCGTGGGGCGCTGAGGGTGCTGCCTGTCATGTGATCGCTGCGGTGGTGCTGTTGCTGCTGCTGGTCAGCTGGGCTGCCAGAGAAGCTAAACATGGCGGGGTTCAGCTGGTAGGGCTGCCTCCTCATGAAATCCAGAGCACGGATCCCCTCTTTCTGCTGGCTGCCCCTGTAGTGACCCCCTTGCGAGGTCATGGATGCCTTGCTGCGTTGTGCCCCCAGTGGATAGGATGGGGAGAGCAGCGGGTTGTAGCCAATGGGGGGAGGTGCACGGATGTTGGGCGAGTACTTCCAGTGTGCTGGGAGGGAGGGTGTGGGGGAGGGTGAACGGGTCAGGTCCGGCTGCTGGCAGCCACTGCTTTCCACCACGTAGCGGTCCATGCGGCTCTGCCGGCGTGCGAACAGCTCAGCACCTTTGCCCTCCATGCCATATGGCATATGGACGATCGCGGGCATCACGCGTGGCTTTGGTGCCACCGGAGGGGGCACCTTGTATTTCTGGGCCTGCGTTAAGTCTCTTGCCTCCCCATCTGGGTTGAACACATCCTCATAGGGGCCGGACTCAAAGTTGAACTCCTGGCCCGCCTTAGGCCTCTCATCAAGGTTCTGCACCAGAGAGAGTAATTCTGGGTTGGGGGAGGCCGTCTTCTTATCCTCAGGGCCGCTGAACAGGGGTTTCTTACTAGCCCGGCGGTGCGCTTCCAAGAGGATCCCGGTGCGGCCGTTGGGGGCGGCAGCCTGCTGTTCACAGGACATGGGGTGGGAGGGCCTCACTGGAGCAGGAAGTGAGGTGTCCCTGCTAGTGAAAGAATTGGAGGATTTTGGCTGGGAAGACGCTGCCGCAGGAGGTTGGGATGTGGCCAGAGTAAGTGGGGAGAAGGGCTCATCCCCTGTAGAGGAAGCAGGCGGAAAGATGAATGGGGGGGCAGTGGCAGGTACAGCAGCATGAGGGGAAGACACAGCACTGGCAGCGGAGAAAGGGGCTGGTATGCCCTCAGACGGCGTAGTGGGCTTAGTCTGCTTGGTGACGTGGGGCCGGAACACCACAGGTGCGGTGGAGGCACGGTGGGTGATGAAGCCTGGAGTGAATGGCCGTGCAGTTCTATTCACCACAGAGCTGGATGGCAAGGCTGCGAGCCAGGGTGATGGCAGCTCCTGCAGCATCGAGGGTGGGGTGGTTTCTGGTACCACAGGGGGTTGGGATGCCATAGAGAGTGGAGACACCACAGAGGCTGTGCTCATGGTGACTGGCCCTACAGTGGTGACATTGTGGCTGTGGGCTAGAGGAACGGTGGGGGCTGGCATGGGCGGAGCCTCTGCCTCTGGAGGGGGGGGCTCCTGAGGAGGCAGAGTTTGCTTCACCTGCTGCATGGCCATCTTCTTCACATGCTCCTCTGCCCTCTTCCTCTGCTGCTCAAAGAGGCGGGCGCCCTTTCCTGAGGTGGCTGTCAGCCCTGGGCTCTCCGTGCCCTCCTGCCTGCCTCCACCCCTCTTTTCCAGGGCCTCCAGGTAGTCGTTGTCCCAGGTAGGATCTGGCGCCATGGTGAAGCCATCCTCGTCAAACTCTGACTCGCTGCCGGGCAGGACACCATCATCTTCATGCGAGTCCCGCAGTATGTCCTCATCCACGCTGCCGAAGCTGGTCAGCGTGTACTTCTTGGAACGCTGCCTGCGCTTCTTAAACATTAGCACACCCCTGGAGTGCGGGTTGGGTGCATCCGTCAGCAGTGAGGCAATAGTCCGGCATTTGGTGCGCGCCTCCTTTACTTGATGGTCCTGTACTGTGTCACCTCTGTGCAGCTCTGTGGGTAACAGGTGTAAAGGTCAGAGGCCTTAGTTAAAATACAGACAAAGATCATTGCTTACTATCAGCCACTCCTTATTTTACGAATTCCTGACAAAGAGCCTAAGAAGCTGGAATTTCTTTCGAAAAATAAACGCAGGGCTTCTCTAAGCCTCAGTGAGGTTGGCCAGCACTGAACAGACCTGATCAGGTAGAAGACTTCGTGGGTCTGAAAGTGGACAGGCCTTTCATTACATTCACCCTCCACCCAATTCAGAGCTCTCCTCCTGACAGTACAATACCTGATGTAATTCCTACACAACTGGGATTAGGGTTGGGTAATATGGTGATAGTATCGGTAATTGATAATATTGGGCAGTGATTAACTGGCAATTATTGTCTTCATTGGCAAAATATGCTTTTAAGCTACACACAAGACAAAAAAGATCTATGATGTCACTTCCAATTCAGTCTTCTAGCCTACATTTCTGACCAAAAAAAACACATTGTTATTGTGTTTCAACTGTTCTTGGTGTGCAAGGGTATCAGTGTATGTACACGTTGTTCATAATAGTAGTACATGGATAGGGCTTACTGCAAGTTTTGTGAACCAGTGATTTAGACTGTTAAATCATAATTATATCTGGCCCACCAATTAAATGTTTTCCACAGAGACTAAAAAAAAAAAGATGACCAGTTACTCCTCCCCCCAGTCAGCAAGTTTTAGCACCAGCCATTTAGCAGATTATCTATGTATCGTTTTTTATGCTTCTTCCACATTTTCCTTTTGAAAGAAATTTAAGACCCCCGCAGGGACCACACGGTGGGGTGTTTGAAGAGTCTATATTATCATTTATCTATAAGTGCACCGATTGTATCGGCCAACAATTGGTATTGGCTGATACAGCAACAATCAGGCATCAGCCAATGGATAAAAATGAGCCAATATTTCCCACCAATAAGTCCCTTTAAAATGGCAACCTACAGTAGTATGCAAAAGTTTGGGCACCCCTCGATAAATAACATATTTTGGTCATTTTTTCATGGAAAAGATGTAAACACAGTCTCTGTAGGAAATGGAAAAAATGCACAATATTTACACCAAACATTGATGCATAGTTACTTTTTATGTCATAAATTGAATAAAGATAAAAAATAAAAACATTATTGTGGCACTATGCAAAAGTTTGGGCACCCTAAGTGTCACGCTGTGCAAGCGGCGAGCAGGCAATGGAGGCGAGAGCAGCCAGGCTGACAGAAGAACGGGGTTTATTACAGTCAAACAGACAGGACTGGTACTCACACAAGCTATCGACGATGACAGATCTGGGGGAAACTAACCGAGACGTGGACTAAATACACAAGACAAACTGAGTTTAACGAGCAACAGGTGAGAACAATCAGGCATAAACATGAGGTAACGAGGTGGGCGTGGCACACACAAGGATCGTACGGAGCTGGGCATGACACTAAGAGTTCCAAAGTCTCAGATTCTTTTTACCAGGTTTCAGACCTTAATCAGCTCATTAGATCTGATGCATGGTAACAGCTGTCATTAGTAAATGTCAGCTCGTGCCAATTTCAAAGCTTTACAAATACACTGACTCTTCATGTACTACTGTATATTGCTTTGCACACCTGCGTATTAAACAGAAAAATGCTGCTGTATGAAATTATTTTGAGATGACAACATTTAGTAATGCATTTTGCAAACATTGCTCTGCTAAAATTTCACAAGGAGGATATACTAGTAAACAGTTTCAACACAACAAATTTGATTGCTCACCTTAAGCTGAAACTGTGAAAAGTAAGAGGGTGAGAGTGAGAGTTTATGAAAAACAAATCTGTTCCAATAAAGAATAAATAAAACAAGTGTATATTTTTCTTGTAATTATTAACAATATTTTCAGTCCAGATGAATCTGTAATTAAGCAATAATATACGAGATGGAGTGCAGTTGTGAATTGGTTGTAGGCACGAGGACGCAGACTCTGATAACCGCACTCATAGAACGTACTCACAGAACACACTCATAGAACGTACTCACAGAACACACTCATAGAACGCATCTTTTCCAAACAGCTTTTTTTGTATGTTATATAATTAAGAATGAACTGTTTAAAAAGAGACTATGTTCAGAATTTGGTCTCTTTTTGGTTCTGTTTGGAGAAAGAAGATACTTTCCTGTGCAGAATTACTAAGCAAATTATTATTACTAATTAAAATGAGCCAGAAAGGACCTTTCAGAGAGCAGAAAAAAAACAAAATAGTAAAGTGCCAGTCAGATGGTTGCAAAACAATTAAAACTTTTGAAACTTGAACAGAATCAAGTCAACAGCCAAAGAGGACTGAAAAAGCATATAGAGAGAAGACACAAATTAACTGCCAGAAATCTGTGGCAAATTAAAGATACTTCCAGAAACCCTTTAGCATCAATTGCACATTATATTTTAGAACAGCAATCTGAACGGAATCTTTGGAAGTACTAGGTATGGTGTGCTACGTAACATTGCTAAGGTCGCAAAGGCTGAAACATGACCTCCACTCAATAACGTTCACAAGATAAATAATTAACACTGGGCATGGATACATCTCAAGAATGATGTTACAAAGGTTTTGTGGACGGATGAGATGTAAGTGACTCTTTATGGAGCAGATGGATGGACTAGTGGATGGATACCCTCTACAAGCACCAACAAGGGGATGGAGGAGATATGATGCTATTATCAGTGATGAACTTGTAGGACCTTTCTGACTTGCAGATGGTTTAAAAATTAACCGCAAGATCTACTGCCGATTTCTAGAAGATACCTGCTTCAAACACTGACACAAGAAATAGTCAACAGCTTTCAAAAAATTATGATATTCATAAAGGACAATGCTCCTTCCCATAAATCAAAGTATTCCATAGACTGGCTAAGAAAGGCTTGAAAGGTGATTGAATTATGACCAGGCCCCCTTCATCGCCTGACTCAACCCCCATTCTTACTAAAGTGTAAGATCTACCGACATGGCAAGCAGTACACTTCTCAGAGCAGCATCTAGGAGGCGGTCCTAGATACTTCACCCAATACAGGATGGGATCAAATCAAAAACTTGATTGGTCCAATGGACAACAGGCTCATGATGGTCATTGAGTAGAAAGGTAGCTATGCAGGACATTAAACTTCGTGAAGAAGGGCTGTATAGAACAACTGATTGTTTGTTATTCTTTATATATACTGAATAACAAAAACTGTTTCTTATTATTTCAGTTGATGGTGAAGACAGAAATACTAATAGTAAAGCATTTTTCTTTTATTTTTATTTGTGAAAGTCATTTTCTCTCTAAGTAAATTTAGTTGGAGCAAAAGAAAACTTTTGAATTCACTTTTATAAGTCTGCCCAACTTTTGCTTAAAATTATCTCCAAGAATAGTACCTGCCTAAATAATTCTGCACACAGTATCTATATGATGTATACAGTTATAAAATATAGTGCTCTGGGACTGTTGTTGTTTTCCAGAGTTGTTGTTTTCTTACCAAAACATAAACACTTATTAATATTTTTAGAATGTAATTCATTTTATTTATTTGGCTGAAGTGTCCCTTTAACCTAAGATGGCAAAGCAGCAGGTGAAGCAACCTGCTTCCCAAACAATCAGTATCGGTGTAATTTTTCAAAATAATTCGGGACGGACAGAAATTTCCTTATTGGTGCATCATTACATTTTTCCTGATATTTTTAAATAAAAAAAATTTTTAGACCCCCCCCCCAAATAAAAATATCACATACGCTACATGGACAAAAGTATTGGGACCCCTGGCCATTACACCTACAGGAACGTTTATGACATTACATTCTAAATCCATAGGCATCAATATGGAGTTGGTCCCCTCTTTGTAACTATGACAGCTGCCACTCTTCTGGGAAGGCTTTCCACAGGATTTCGGAGTAGGTCTGTGAGAATTTTGCCCATTTATCCAGTAGAACTTTGCTGAGGTCAGGCACTGATGTTGGACATGAAGGCCTGGCTCACAATCTCCGTTCTTGTTCATCCCAAAGGTGTATGACGGGGTTAAGGTGAAGGCTTTGTGTGAGTCAGTCAACCATGTCTTTATGGACCTTGTTTTGTGCACTGGGGCACAGTCATGCTGGAGCAGAAAAGAGCCTTCCTCAAACTGTTCACATAAAGGTGGAAGCATATAATTCTCCAAAATGACCCCGGAACTAAGGGGTCTAGCCCAACACCTGAAAAACAACCCCATACCATTATCTCTCCTCCACCCAACTTTATAGCGGGCACAATGCAGACAGGCAGGTAACATTCTCCTGGCATCCGCCAAATACAGAAAAGTGTGATTTGTCGCCCCACAAAACGCATTTCCACTATTCCAGAGAACAATGGCGGCATGCTTTACAGTTTACACCACTCCATCCGACATTTGCATTGCGCTTTGTGAAGCTTGCATGCAGCTGCTCAGCCATGGAAGGCCATTCCTGCTTTTCACAAGGCAAGAAAACTGCTTCCCCAGTTTTCTGCTGGGGTTGATGCCAGAAGAAGTTTGGAACTCTGCAGTTATTTAGTGAACATAGCATTGGCATCTTATGAGAGTACCACATTTGAATTTACTTAACTCTTCAGAATGACCAATTCTTTCAAAAATGTTTGTACACCTGACTGCATGGTTAGGTGCTTCATGTTTTTTGCACCTGCGGCAATAGGTGTTTATGAAACACCGGAATTCAATGATTATGGACGTGTGTCCCAGTACTTTTGTCCATATAGTGTATTATTTTTCTAGATATTGCCCAGTCCAAATTGGGATACTCAACTACAGTCTTCTTACATAAAATGACACTATGAAAGACTGTGAATGCCTTAAAGGAGGCTATTCAAAATAATCACAGAGACTTAATAAGATATTTATATCATCGCTGTAGATAGAGTGAATGATCATGGTGCACAGAGTTCTGTCATCGACAAACACCAATCTGACCTTTAAACTGAGATCCTGCTGAGGTCAGACACTAGAAATATCTTCTGCGCATTTTTATGGCACACGTAACTGTCCACATATTTAATGACAGTAGGCAGCATCTGGCAGAGTGAGTTAGTGATATTTCTTTTTAAAAGGTACTTTCTGAGGAAGGAGACGGAAATGTTTGAATAACTTTAACCTTTCAGCAGAATTAAAGATATCAAATGAGACAACACCAAGGTAACAGGTACACAGGGCAGACAGAAATACACCCCCCCCCAAATTAGTAACTAGTACTGAGTGTCAGCTCTGTGTATTTCTTTCATTTTAGTGAGTAACCGTGATTATTGTATTATACTGTTATTATTTCTTTAGTTCCAGTTCAATTTCTATGTTTTTTAAGTTTCCTTTTAGTTTTCATTGGACAGGGAATTTTTACTGACGTTTTTAGACCCCTTATATTCATTTTTAGTATTAACATTATTTTCATGTGCTATACATGTTCATACAATGATTTTACCTTTCATACACCACTGTCTTCCACCATAACCCCAGAATAAACATTTTTTTGCTTTAATAGTATTCTTAATTTGTTCATGTTTAACTTTACCTTCCTGGAAAAGCCCCCGTTTATTATCTACTTGACATTATTGATATGACTTGCTTAATGCATCGGTTTATATGGTTTTTATCTCACAGAGCAGCGGAAGCACCAGACGGTGCTGTTGATCAAAAATAAACATCCAGTCAGATAAATGTGTTGCTGACAACGTAAGTGTCCCCAAGTTCCTTCTCAGGGGTGAGTTTTATAAATAGTGTCACTGTTTGTATAGCATCCTACAAACAGCAGCCTTTGCACTTCCTCTGGCCTCAGCTCACACATACGAGCCGGCAGGTTTGGCTGGTCAGTCGCTGCTGATAACAGCACAACCCAGACCTCTTTTCTCAGACGAACCACACAGCAAAAGGGAGTCTGATGCAGGGGCAGAAATGGGGCATGGGAGTCTTCATTTTCGTAATTGAACAACTCGTGAATAAACATTCCCTTTTGTGTCCTTTGATTCTATTTAGCTTGAAAACCCATAAATAAGACACTCGACACCTGTAAACATACACGTCTCCTGCATCTCTGCCGCGTGATTGCTCCATGGCAGCATGCAGGCCTGCCCTCAGTCATGTGATGTGGACATGTGTGCATTAACACATGAGTCTTAGCACAGGAGCTGGTGAGCCATAGCACTATCTGACACCAGAGAGCAGATGCAGACTCTCTCAGTGGACTCACTCCAGGTGCTGACAGCCCAGATCTCTCTCAGAAAACATTACTACCACTCCCTGGTGCTACTGCTGGTGGAGAAGCGAAGGGGCTGGGGTTCACTCATGCACCTCTGCAAGGGCTTAAACCACAAGGAATTTGTTACTGCTGCCACCCTTTTCTAGTATTGTCAGTGTAAAGGACTTCTTAAAGGTTTCTGAATCTTTTTGTCTTTGCATTTTGCCTGAAGGGATGTGGAACTGCACCACACTATGTAAATGAGGAAATATTCAGGACATCCTCTGAAAGTCAAACAATGACCAATTTATCGGTACAGACGCTCCTCTACTTACAAGTTACAAACGTTCAACTTACGAACTTTCAGACATACAAACGAAGAGGACTGTAAGTCCAAATTGTGTTAATTGGGCTCCCGCCAATTCCACCTAGTACGACTTCTGGCCACTACTCCCACTGCGCAACAGCGTAGCGTGCGTACTCCCAGTATCCTAGTTCTTTGTCCTTGCATATACCCTTAAATGATGTTGAATAACGACTTACGGACATTTCAAGTTACGAACGGCCGTTCGGAACGTATCTCATTTGTAAGTAGTGGAGCTTCTGTATATTTCAAAGGAACTTCAACAAACCTCCCTACGGACCTGCACTATGGAGGCCAGGTGAGTGACAAGTGCAGGTGGCAGTGACAGAAGGGCAGGTACTCACTGGCTTGTTTTGCCTTGTCCATGTAGGTGATGGTGAGCTCCTCATCCACAGGGTTGTCCACTGGCCCCACCATTGGCACCAACTGCTTTCTGGAGGCCAGCTGGAGAGCTTCTCTGGCCCGCTCGGGGGAGACCAGTGGTGGGAGGCTGGAGGGCTCCTGGAAGCCACTGTCCACCTCTGCCCTTCCGTTTTGTGGGTTTTGATCATCTGTGTTCATCAAAGAGTTCTTGGAGGTCTCCATCTGGAAGGACCATTCGCCTGGCTCGGGCTGATAAACCACCTCCTTTTGTGCTACACCTGGAAGTTTCCCCGACGGCAAAGTCCATTTGTGCTCCCTGCCATTGGTCATACAGCTCCCTGGAGCAGGAACATAGGTGCGGGCATCAGGGGCGCTGTCATAGCCGCTCATCTCAGAGGTCTCTTCTGGCGACTCCCTGCCTGCAGCCCTGGCTGGCATGGTGCTGGGGCTCCGGCGCTTCTGTCTTCGCTGTTTCTCATGCGTCACATCTACGTCGCTGTCTGTCTCACAGTAGTAGGCCTCGCTGCCCTGTATGGAGGTCGGGCAGTCCTGCCTCGTCCAGCTCTCGCTGCCCAACTTGGGGCATGACCTTGACACTAGCTGGGGGGGTTTTGGAGACTTGGGCCTTAGGGAGGCCCGATACTCCTTGTCAATCCTTGGGGATGGAGCCCGGGTCAACAGCACCACTGACTGGAATCCCACTGGTACTCTGTGGAGAAAGCTAACTTGTGAGACAAAGTGCAACTTCACAGTAAAAATTCCCCATATTCAATTTTTGTTGTGCATTAATTGTTAAGCAACACACAAGATATTATTAATTATTAATTATTATTAATACTAAATTAATATCATTAAGATACCATTCAGACACAAGATACCATTAATGCTACAAGGCATTATATTACGATAAATATGAAGCATCATTATAATAAAAAAAAATAGAAGCATCTTTTATTTTTTATTAATTTTGTTTCAGTCAACTAGCACTGAAAAGCTTCAAAAATTTGGTTAGAAAATGGGTTAAACTCAGAATATTAATATGAAATAATATTAATATGAATATTAATATTTAATAAATAATATGCAATTTGGGATGACTTTTTGAAAAGCCTACTTCTGGCCCAGTCAGATGTCTGCCCATGTCTCCTGTACACTCAGCCGACCAGTTCTGACCTTTTGACCCGCAAGAATAGCGTCCCAGGGGAGCTGTCGATGAGGTTCATGGCTTGGGCATGGGACAGTCCATTACACGGGCTCTCATTGATGGACACCAACTCATCAGCCTCGCGGAGACCTGCCCGGCATGCCTTGCTGCGCTTGCGCACCTGTTCCAGCAGATGGAGACACGAAGAAAGCAAGCAAATGGAAGCGTTACCAGAGGGCAGGATGGCCACAGGAACAGACCTCTGAACACAGAGAAGGCAGAAGCACAGCAGTTATCTAGCTCTGATTTAAAGAACCCCAAGGTTTTAGCTTGAACTACATGAACAGGAAGGCTATTCCATACTCTACACGCTGTGTAAAGAAGTGTTTTCTCAAATTCAGTTTAAAATGTTCTCCTGCTAATTTCCACCTATGGCCACAAGTTCTACTATTTAAACTAATATTGAAGTAGCCATTTGGCTGAACAGCATCCAGGTCTGTTAGAATCTTATATACCTGGATCATGTCTCCCCTTGATCTCCTTTGCACGAGGCTGAACAGATTCAGCTCAGCTAACCTCTCCTCATAAGACATTCCTCTAAGACTAGTGGCCTGTACTACGAAGCGGGGTTACTGGCTTATCGGGGTAACTTGTCGGACTGAAGGTAGTCTGGGCAAAATGTAAGTGAACAAATATGAAGTCTATTTAAACTGTGGTACCTTAAATCCGACAAGTTACCCCGATAAGCCAGTAACCCCGCTTCGTAGTAAAGGCCCCAGGAATCATTCTTGTAGCCCTACGTTAAACCTTTTCCAAGGCAAGAATATCCTTCTTAAGGTATGGTGACCAAACCTGCACAGAATATTGTTGGTGGGGTCTTACCAAGGAATTGTATAATCGTAGCATAACCTCCCTTGACTTAAACTCCACACACCTAGAGATGTAACCCAATATCCTATTGGCCTTTTTAATTGCTTCCCAACACTGGCGAGAGTGGGACATGGAAGCATCAACATACACACCGAGGTCTTTCTCTTAATCAACTATCTTTATTTCAGTGGAACCCATAAAATATCTGTACTTTATATTTCTGCTCCCTGCATGGATTACCTTACATTTATCTATGTAAAATTTCATCTGCCAGGTACCAGCCCAGTCACTAATTAAATCCTGATCCTGTTGTAGCCTCTGTGCTGTTAGTTTAGTATCTGCTACACCACCCACCTTGGTGTCGTATGCAAATTTAACCAGTTTAGGCCAGGCCAGTCGAGAGACATAGTCCCTACAACATGTCCTGGGTCTTCCCCGGGGCCTCCTCCCAGTGGGACATGCCCGGAACACCTCATCAGGGAGGCATCCAGGAGGTATCCTAATCAGATGCCCGAGCCACCTCATCTAACTGCTCTCAATGCGGAGGAGCAGCGGCTCTACTCTGAGTCCCTCCCGAATGACCGAGCTCCTCACCCTATCTCTAAGGGAGAGCCCAGCCACCCTGCGGAGGAAACTCATTTCGGCCGCTTGCACTCGCGATCTCGTTCTCTCTGTCACTACCCACAGCTCGTGACCATAGGTGAGGGTAGGAACGTAGATTGACTGGTAAATCGAGAGCTTTGCCTTTTGGCTCAGCTCCTTCTTCACCACGACAGACCGATGCAGCTTCCGCATCACTGCTGACGGCGCACCGATCTGCCAGTCGATCTCCCGCTCCATCCTTCCCTCACTCGTGAACAAGACCCCGAGATA